CTTGTGCTGCACCAGGCTCCTGGACCAGCCTCTGCTGCCTCCTGCCTGGAACTTCTGAGCTCCCACCTCGGCCTCCCCCCTCCCCTCCCTTCCTGGCATTGATGGATTTACTGATCCGGATCATGCCAGGCAGCTCCTCACCAACATCTGCCCACACCACAGCAGGCACAAGCCTCTGCCAGCTTCGGCTGTAAGAATAGAGTGTGTTTACACTTCATTCCCGGAAGACCGTCCTGTTTTTTTTCTACTCTTTTAGGAAATAGCGATATCATCACAATCAAATCTGTAGTCGTATTTGTATTTTAAACAACCTTTAAAGGCTCCTCCTAGAAAAGCCCATAGGTATTTTCCTGTGATGCTTCAGAATATTACACGCTTCCTCTTCTGAGAAGGGAGCAGCAGTCATAGAATCATAGAATTACAAAATCACAGAATCATAGAATCACAGAATCACAGAATTGTATCAGCTGGAAGAGACCTTGAAGATCATCAAGTCCAGCCTTTGTCCCAGCCCTATCAACCTACTAAACGATTGCCCCCAATACAACATCGACCCGTCTCTTAAACACCTCCAGGGATGTCAGCTCAACCCCTCCCCTGCGCAGCCCGTTCCAATGCCTGACAACCCTTTCAGTATAGAAATTCTTCCTAATATCCAACCTGAGGTCCCTTACCTCAGTGGTGTACGGGATCCTTGCGATAACTTCTGGAGCCATCCAGTAGGGAGTGCCTACGAGGGACTTTCTTTTCGGTACGTCTTTACTGATCTGAGCGCAGAAGCCAAAATCCGAGAGTTTGACCTGTACAAAGAGCAAAGCCACCGAGCTTCAAAACAATTTTTTAAATGACGCGGAGAGAAACGCCAAGGACAAGGAAGACAAAGGGAGCAAGGGGACGAGGTACACACAAGAGATAGTGCACAGAGAGGAAATAAGGAGACAGACGAAGGGGGCAGCAGCAGCAAAGGCAGGAAACCCTCTGTCTGAGGAGACGTACCCTCCCGTCCAGCGTCAAAAGAATGGAGTCGCTCTTAATGTCCCGGTGAATGACCCCCTGGGAGTGAAGATAGGACAGAGCCTGCAGCACCGATTCACACACTGTTGCGATCTGCTCTTCATTGAGCCTGAAAGGAAAGACACGGGAGTGTGACCGCGGGGTCCCGGGTGGTGGCGAGCGCTCACGCAGCTCCTCCTCGAAGGCACCGCGCAATTCTGAAGTGAAAATGTAGATACGCAACTTGGTTCCCGATGCGTACCACCATCTCCCTTCTACTGTGTTTCTATGACTGTCTTGTACCGCTGAAAGGATTTTTGCCCTGATGGTTGGTGATTTTCAGTTTCCTTGCGCCTAATATAGAGAAATTGCATTTTAAATCTCGTTTTCTAAATTCATTCTGCAAGATGCTGTTTCGGCCAAGACGGCTGCTTCATGCCAAGGTGCTGCAGTAACTGTTGAGACAGCTTTTCTTCAGGCACCTATAGTAAAGCTAATGTTCACAAGGCTTATTGTGCAACTTCATCTAGAAAGCATCTAATTTGACAGCAAATATGGGGACCCTTTCCAGGTTTGCTGCAGCTAGATGCTTTGGATGCTCTTACACCTCTACAGGTTAGAAGCAGGGAGGACGCTCCCAAATTTTACCCCTCTCTCTGTTAGCACGCTGAGTACCAGCATCGAGAGCCTTGTCTTTAGAAGCTCTTGCTCTCTGGAACACCAACACGAGAACCTTCCATGATCAAGTATAAGTGAAAATGGTAGAAATGAAAATTATCTCCTGCAACTGGGGACAGTGGCAGCGATCTCTGCACATTCACACTGACCAAACTGGAAGTCTGATATTTCAAAGAACAGCTCAAGTTCCCAAGTTGAGTAATTTTCCTTCTCAGCCTGGGTTTAGCAGTTGTTTCAGACAACTCTCAGCTGAGGGCATAAGATGATACCTCCTCAAACCCAGGTCTGCAAATAAGACTGAGGAGAAGAGAGTGCTCGAAGGCAGAGCTGGGCAGAGTGTGTCGGTCCCTCCTAAGAGCAATTGTGACACTTTCACGAAGGAGATGGCACCATCAGCTCAGAAATTTATACTCCCCTTGCTTGTTTGGCATCCTGGCCATATCTTACTCTACCAAACTGACCATCTGACCAGGACAGCTACGCATTGTGGCTGCCCTGTGCCGTGTCCGTGGCCAATGGACCCGAAGGGGCTACTTTTGCCATTATGGTTTAACCCAAAAAGGGACAGAGACCAATACCGGGACATGTTCAAGGCAGAAACCAACCTATTTAGCAAGAGTGCTTCTCATAGTGCAGGAGCTGTAAGAAAAATCTCTACGCTTCTGAGCCCTGCGGTTCTAGAAGATACCAAGAGGTGTGCTCTCAGCTTGTCCCGTATGGAATTTGGTTTCACTCAAGTGACTGCACAGTGTAAAAGAGATTACTAGGGGATTACCTCACTCCTGGAGATGCAAATCGGTTATCACCTTTAGCAAATGTTTAATGAGTGGAATGAGGGTTATTTCCTCCCTGCTAAAAACTGATAAAGGCTTGCAACTTACTTTTGATAAATGTAATGGTCGTAACAGATCCTGTTTCCGCTGTGTGGAAGAATGAGCATTCGTTAAAAGGTTCAAATGAAGGTTTTGTAAAATAACTCAAATCTAGGCTGAGGTCCCACAATGGAATTCCGTTTTGCTGGTGAATTCAAACTACACAGACCCCTCATAAACCTCTTCAGAATATTTTTAATTTTTCATCTGTAGTTCCCTTTGTTCTCACGCCAGCCAAAAGCTGCAAGATCTTCACTGGCTCTGCAGTGCTGTAGCTCAGCACTCCTCAAGATTAAATAGTTTTTTTTTCCTGTCCTGGCGTTCCCTGCACCAGCTCACAGCCTTGCAGGAGGAGGGTGCTAAAGCGCTGGAGGTGAGACAGGATCAGCACAACCGCATCCCCTCTTGAGTGGGACTCTAGGGGCCATCTGAGAGCAGTTTCTTTGCCCTAGAGAAATGCTTTGGGCATTAATGGATGTGAAGCAGTGTGGACAAAGAAAATAGATTTAGGAGAGTGTCCAGGAGTTGCTATCTTTAGGCAATGACATTTGGGAATGAGTCCAGATCCCGAGTTTCTGCTGCACTTCCCCAGAGGAGTTAGCTGCAAATTCACCCTCACTAAGGCTGCACCACTGAGAACTATTTCTGCGTGCTCTTTGATATTTATTCAATGAGCTGCCTGGCCAGAATTCAACGGATATAGTAAACAATGCTTCTTAGGAGTGCTGTGTTTTACAGGGAAGGTCATCAAGTAGATGGATAGTGGGTATCTAGAGGGATCAGCTCTGTAAAGGAGGTCTCTTCTACATCAGATGTCTCTTCTGCACCATGAAGAGCCCTCATTTTCTCCGTCTCAGGTGGAAAATAATTGTATGGGATTTAATTTTGTGCACTTTGGGTTTTAATCAAGGGTTTTTGTCAGACACTTCAGGTGGACGGCAGTTATCAAGCATAGTAGTTTCAGGACCCTGCAAGCACAAGATCTCTGAGGGAAATTATTCTTGCCAGACATATCCACCCTACTGCTCAGGCCTGCCGGGTGGGAACACAAAGCGTCGACGTTTCGGGTTTTGTCTCGTACCTGATCTGAGACACGATGTCTGTGAGGGCTCCTCCCTGCAGGTACTCCATCAGCACCCAGAGCTCCTCACCCACCAGATAGCTCTTGTACATCTCCACTACGTTGACATGTTGATAGTCCCTCATTATCACCACCTGTAAAAACACAGCGGACAATTGGCCACCGTGAAGTCACTAACACCGCTTCATCTCACCCAGCAAAGCAAAGGGGGCACAACCCTGTGAGTACAACACGGCAGCCTCCATCCCCTGGGTCACTTCTCTTCTTGGTACTAGCGTGATTCTATTAAAAGAAAGATCTGTCCTGCTCCTTCCTTCATTTTACCACACTGACGGCTACCACGGCTTTACGGTGGCCAGCAGAACGAAACGCACTTGAATCATACAATCACAGAATGTTGGGGTTGGAAGGGACCTCCAGAGATCCCCCAGTGCCACCCCCTGCCAGAGCAGGGT